TTTTAGAGAGAGTGGAAGGGAGAGGGAGAGATAGAGACAGAAACGTCGATGGGAGAGGGACACATTGATTGGTTGCCTCCACAGCTGCCCCAGACCTGGGCCGGGGATTAAGCCTGTGCCCTTGACCTGAATTGAACATGGGACCCTTCAGTCCACAGGCTGATGCTCTATCCAGTGAGCCAAACTAGCTAGGGCATAAAGGCATATTTCTTTTATTTTTATTTCTCATCACTTTTTAATGTTTTTTATTTATTTATTTTTATTTCAGAGAGGAAGGGAGAGGGAGAGAAAGATAGAAACATCTATGATGAGAGAGAATCATTGACCAGTCCCCAGGAAACGGCAGCCGAGGTTCATGCCTTTCTCCAGAATCAACCCGGGTCCCATTAGGCCTCTGGCTAAGGCTCTAGCCTCTGAGCCCAACCAGCCAGGGCCGCACCTGCACGTTTTGTCGCCTCTCGGGTGCATGTGATGAGACCGCGCCGTGTGCAGGGGCGCGTGGGGGGGTGAAGGCACAGGGACCAGGAGCCACCTCGTGGGCGGCCTGCCGTCCAGTAGGGAAGACGCTCCAGTGGAAGGACTGCCCGGCCTCCATGGCCTGGGGGGTGGGAAGGGGGACCCCGGGTGCGGGTGGTCTCGGGGAGCCCTCCCAGAAGTGAGTCCTGAAGGAGCCTAAACACTAACCATGTGGCCCGGCCAGGGTGGCTCAGTGGTTGAGCATCGACCTAGGAACCAGGAGGTCACGGTTGGATTTCTGGTCGGGGCACATGCCTGGGTTTCGGGCTCCATCCCCAGTGTTGGGCATGCAGGAAGCAGCAGACCCATGATTCTCTCTCATCATTGGTGTTTGTGTCACTCGCTTCCTTTCTGAAAACAATATAAAGCTTATGTAATACAGAGGGAATACACTAATTAACCACCACACCATCACAAATATGACAGCGCCCATAGCCAATAAGTAGGGAATATGCTAATTGACTTCCCTGCCCTAAATGATGGTGGTGCCCCGTTTTCTCACCCCTCCCCTGCCCAGTGCCGCCCCAGGCTTGCGCTGCAGGCAGTGGCAGCAGCAGAGGTGTGATGGGGCGTCGCCGTCCCCTTATGGCCGGGTCACCTCCGCCCTGAGGGCTCCTGGACTGTGAGAGGGGGCAGGCCGGGCTGAGGGACCCTCCCTCCAGTGCATGAATTTTCATGTGCTTGGCTCCTAGTATACACAAGTTTTTAAAAAAATTAACGGTTTGTAGGAGTGCTGAGAAAAGAGAGGGCTCTCCTGTGAGAGGGCCCACAGCAAACGCACAGCCAGGGGGTGGGGGCGTGTGGGGAAAGGCAGGTGTCGCCGAGCTTTCCAATCAGCTCAGTCTAGGTCCCTCCACAGGCTGTCCTGGCCATTAGCCGAGAGGAGGGTCAGGGTGACAGGGACAGAGAGAGCCCCGGGCACTGACATCCAGGTTCTTCCCGTCAGAGGGAGAAGGGAGATGTGGTCAGCAAGGGTCACTCCATTTCTTCCTCCAGGAAAAGCTCCAGGAAGCGGTGAGGAAACTGAGGCAGCTGGAAGAGGAATGCACGAACCAGAAAGCATTCATGGCGAAGCAGATCGCCCAGTGGAAGGTGAGAATGGGGGGCTCTCGCCTTGGCCGCTGGAGGGCACCCCCCTGGGCTCAGGTGCAGTCCCCACCCAGTCAGGCGTGTGCAGGAGGCAACAGCCCACGTCTCTCTCACATTGACGTTCCTCTCTCTCTCCCCTCCCTCCCTCCCTGCCACTCCCCTCTCTCTAACAATCAATGGAGAGAATATCCTGGGCTGAGGATTAACGACAACAACAGCAAAAAGAACAGGGATTTCTTGGTGTCAAGCTCTGTCTGTCCTGGTGCTTAGGCGTAGGGTCTGATCGGGCCAAGCACAGTGATGGTGTCACTGAACCAGAGCAGCAGGTGGAGCCCGAGAAGGAGCCATTGTCCTCCTTGTCCACATCGATGAGAGCTCATCCCCTCCCCCCTCCTTCCAGCAGGAAATGGCCATGAGGCCAGTGCCTGTCGGAGCCGCAGAATCACATGCCTGTTTACCAAGAGCCATCCCCACTGGGTTTCCAACTTTCTTTCTTTTTATACTTTATTTTATATTTGTATTTATGTCAGAGAGGAAGGGAGAGAGATAGAAACATCCAAGAGGAGAATCATGGATGGCTGCCTCCTGCACGCCCCCCACTGGGGATGGAGCCCTGAACCCAGGCCTGTGTCCTGACCGGGAATCCAATGTGACCTCCTGGGTCACAGGTGGACGCTCAACCACTGAGGCCCGCCAACCCTCATTCAAGGATATTGTTCCATTGGTTTTAGAGAGAGTGGAAGGGAGAGGGAGAGAGAGACAGAGAGAAACGTCGATGGGAGAGAGACACATTGATTGGTTGCCTCCCAGAGGTGCCCCAGCTCTAGGCCGGGGATCAGGCCTGAAACCAAGGCGTGTGCCCTTGACAGGAATTGAACTTGGGACCCTTCAGTCCACAGGCCGACGCTCTATCCACTGAGCCAAACCAACTTGGGCATAAATGCATATTTCTTTATATTTCTCATGATTTTTTTAAACTTTTGTTTTGTTTTGTTTTGTTTTTTATTTGAGAGAGGAAGGAAGAGGGTGAAAGAGATAGAAACATCAATATGAGAGAATCATTGACCAGTTCTGCAACCCGGACATGTGCCCTGACAGGGGATAAAACCGTGACCTCCTGGTTCATAGGTTGATGCTCAAGCACTGAGCCACACCAGCTGGGCTAAGCCTATTCCTTTTAGAATATTGAACAGATAAAATCTACAAGGTGGCTCCATGGTCTACAGGGCTCTATATATAAATCAGAAAATTGTGATTTGGCTCAAAACTCCAGTGTGGCTCAGTGGACAGAGCATCAGCCTGAGAACCGAAGGGTCCCGGGTTCCATTCTGGTCAAGTGCACGTACCTCGGTGGCAGGCTCCTCCCTGGCCCAGGTCCTGGTCAGGGCTCCTGCAGAAGCCAACCAATCGATGTGTTTCTCTCACATCGATGTTTCTCATTGTCTCTCCATCTCTCTTCCATTCTCTCTAAAAATCAATGGAAAATGATCCTTGGGTGAGGATCAAGAAGAATAAAATCCCCCCTGCAGGTAGAGGGGTGGGTTCCTTTGTGGGGAGCCAGCTCAGCCAAGGGTTGGGTGAGCTTGAGAGGGGGCGGTGAAGGATGTAGAAAAGACAGACAGGGGGAATAAGCTGGGTCTAGGTGGTTCTCCTGTGCCTGGCTGAGGCCACAGAGAGAGACCCAGACAGCAACTGGAGCCTTTATTTATAGCCAGAGGTAAACAAGGTAGTGGTCACCATAGTCACAATGTTCTTGGGAGTTTCACTTGTTTTGGCAGCACTTGCTGCACCTCCCACAGCCCATTAGCTTCCCAGATAAGCTCTAGGGACCCTCATAAGGTCAAGCCTAATTATGCTAACAGGGCTGTGCCCTCTAAGCTGGGACTTGTTTGTGGCTTTGCCAGCAGGTCGTCAGTCTGATTAACCCTATAGCCGCTCCCTACATTCCTAGCCGGAACAGGCTCAGGGGATGGCTTCCCCTCCCACGTGCCTGTGTCCAGCAGGTCCTGAGGCTTAACCCTATAGCCGCTCCCTACATTCCTAGCCGGAACAGGCTCAGGGGATGGCTTCCCCTCCCACGTGCCTGCTGCCAGGGGCACAGAATCCTGATGGTCAGGTGATGTTGGGGACCAGGTGGGGCCGTCCCATGAGTGATGGGTGAGCCTGGCCTGATGGACCCTCCTTCCAGCCTCAGGAAAGTGAACCTCCCCCTACCTCCAGCTGCTGGT